GCATTTTGCAGTGTTGTGCTAAGACTGGTCCTGTTGTCCACCTTCACTCATTCAGCAACCAGAGGTTCATTTTCCTTGTAATTTTGTTGCATCTTAGTGATGGCCTTCTGCAAAAGGGAAGTACATGAGTATCAATTTCTCCCCCAATCCTTCCCAACTGAAACCAGTTTCTTCCAATGATCAATCACTGAAGAATATGATCCCAGACTTTCCCACAAGCAGGGAGGCTCAGCCACTGGAAATACTTTTCAAGATGTCAAAACACTCAATCATCTGTTCTTTCACTTAGCAAAAAGTGCTGAATGATGACACTGGGCCAAACGCTGCTGGCCCGCTGCTGGCCCTTCTGGGAGTTCACAGTCTAGCATCAAAGGTTGTAGACACTACAGTTCATGGACAAATCACCTATGCATTCCGAGGGGGCCCAGGTAGGGTGTCATTAAGCCTGTCTTAGTGGTCAGAGAAGGCTTCACAAAGGAGGGGACATCTGGATTTCCTCTTTCCCTTAACCCAAGGCAATGTTGAATTTGACTATTAAAGAAAAATACCTCATTTAAATTCTTTATTATGAAAGTAACATACTTTTTTTTTATAAAGGATCATCAAAACAATCAAAAGTGCATGAAATACAAAGTGAAAGCATCCATGCATGGTTCAAGTTTGATACATGGCATTTTAGATTCTTACTACGTATTTGAACATACATATATATAATTTTTAAATGATTTATGTTATACATATTGCTCTGCGACTTGTGTCCCTCCACCTCCCCATTTGGCAGTAGTTTGTGGACATTTTTCATGAGAGTTCATCGAGTACTGCCACATCTTAGCAGCTCTGCAGTATTTCGTTGTAAGGATGTGGTATAATTTACTTAATAGGCCCCAATTGAGGGGCACTTGGATGGTCTTTCAAAGGGTGAAAAGATATTCACAAGTAGGACAGAAAGGGCCAAGGGACAACTCCATTTGAGTTGTCAGCATATGTTTGGGCTGGAGGGTAGCATATACTTCTGGATAGCAATTCAGTATCAGTCAAGTATACGTTAAGTGGGGCCAAGGGAAGAGAGGCCAGTTGAGGAGAGGATCACAGACTGCTCTGAGGAGTTAGGCTGTTTTTCTGCAGGTGGTGATAGCAGATTTTGATAGAGGTCAGATTCATCTATTTCCAAGAATACTGGGACAGCTATGGGTGGTGGCATTGAGGGAAAACTGAAGACAGAGAGCCCATCTAGAAAACTACTCCACCAACTGGGGCCAAGAGAGGATGACTAGAGCTGAACAGCACAAGGTCAAGGTCAAGGGCACTGAGAGGAGAGGGCAAATTCAGGGCATATTTGGGGTGGTGTTGGTAAGATGTGGAGAACGGTTGTGGGAAGGGAAGGAGAAGAATGGAATCTAATGTGCAAGTCTAGCCTAGGAGACTGGGTGGATGTGGCTGCGGTGACCAAGATGGGACACAGGAGGAGGAGGGGGCTAAGAAGGTAGTGAGTTCAATTTTGTACTCTCTTCCCTTTGTTTTCTGTCCCCCTCCTGATACCTCATTAAAGGAGGAAGCCACCCTCGCTGGCATTTCTGGCCCCCCCAAAAAATTATGCCTGATGAGCCCAAAGTTAATGATTTGACCAGCACCCGCAGGAGCACTCAGAGCAAGTTCCGTTTTAGATGTATGACTGTGGGTTACTTAAGCCTTAGATTCTCTTTCCTCGCTTTTATTTAAAGGACAAAATGCTATCACCAGTCATCAGATGCGCATATACTTGAAGTTTCAAAGTTTGAAGTGCTGACAAAAGCTTCTCCTTGTTGCAGGGTGAGGAGAGGTCTTCAGAAGTCTTGGCCTAAGTGGTCACAGGGGCACCAAGAGCCCAGGCCCACTTGGCTGGTTTCAGAGCAGCAGGGGCAGGCAGGAAGGCACACACTCCTATTTGCTCAGTTACAATCAGCAACGACTTCTTTGTGTAAAATGGTAATGAGGCCATTAGGAGAGCTCACCTGAAGTGCAGCCTTGTGAATCCAAGGTAATTAAACACCTCCCGAATGAAAGGGAAAGGCCGGGGAAGGTTAAGTGAGGAATAATCTGCCGCACAGGTGGCCCAAGGGCTTTGAGGAGCCAAAAGAGCGACACTGGCTTGCACTTTTTCAAAGAATGGAAATGTCACCCTAGTCCCTGGGAGAGCCAGGATTTTTATTATTTGGAGGGTGGGAAGTGGGCAATATTTTTAACATTTTCATAAAGCCTGTTCCTTTTTCATACTGCCGTGTCAAGTTGGAGGTACATGACAGTGTGCCAGGGCGCCGAGGGCCTGCACTGCCTCTGGTGGGCTCTCACTACCATGGTGCTATGGTGTGTGTGAAGCAAAGTAGGGGAGCTCACAGTAAACAGAGTCCTTACACCCAGGTGTTGAGACATACTCCAAACTGCTTCCAGAGGAAAATTGTTTTCCCTGGCCCACCTCTGAGCGGAGGTGGGGTGGCCACCCTGACAAATGCACATTCCCGTCCCTTCTGACTTGATGGTTTGACTTTCTGTATGCAAAGCACTGTGCTCCACGACTTCATGTGTCCTTTTAGCTTATCTGGCAAATGAGGATTTTTGCCATCCAGTTTCTTGCCTCAAAAATCTCTGCTGTCTCCATGTGAAAGCTTGTATATGAATGTTTGTCGCAGCATTATTCATAATAGCCAAAAAGTGGAAATGACCCAGATACCCGTCAACAGATGAAGAGGTGAATAAAATGTGGTCCACCCATATGATGGAATAGTATTCAGCTGTGAAAAAGAATGAAGTACTAATAAGTACTACAGTGTGGATGAAACATGTTTATAGTGAGCGTTATGCTAAATGAAAGAAGCCCAGTCACAAAAAGAGACCACATATTGTATGATTCCCTTTATATGAAATGTTCAGAATAGGCAAATTTGTAGACAGAAAGTGGGTGAATGGTTACCTGGGACTGGGGTGAGGGAGGAGTGGGGCAGGATTAGTGGGAGTGAGAAATGACCACCAATAAGATAGGTTTTCTTTTGATGAAATGTTCTGGAATTAGATAATAGTGATAGTTCTACAGCATTGTTACTGTACTAAAAACTACTGAATTATGTATTTTAAATGAATGAGTTTTATGATGTGTAAAATATATCTTAATATGAGCTGTTAAAAACCGCTTATCAGAAGCTTGGTAAGAAGAAATGTCCATGGAGCATTTCAAAAGTATATATAATCCATCCCAGATTGTTAATATTTTTAGATTCACAGCCACCTTTGGGAGCCTGAGGAAAGCTATAGCACCTAGACCCAGAAAAATAGTCATCACTCATTCATATCAAAAATTTGTACGTGATTCATGGACCATCTGCATCTAATTTTCTATTTCATCTTTAATTTTTATCCTAAATTTAATCTTAAATAATTTCAGGCCAATAGATATACCTATATCTAAGCCCCATACAGATTCCTGAAATGTGTTCTTGATATGTCACCTGCATGCTTAAAAATAGTCACTAACTTTACATTTATCTCAAAATGAAAGGAAAAATTCTTTAATGTATTCACAGCTCTTGACCCCTGCCTTTCTTTCCCTCTATCCTCGTTTTAAGCTATTTTCTCCATCATTCTGTCCACTGAAGCCACAGTTCACTCTAGTCTCTGAACTCCTCACTATAGTGTCTTTGTAAATGCTGATCCCTGTGTTTGGTATTTGTGAGTTTACTTCACCTCATCCTTCAGATTTCAGCCCAAGCCTCTTTCTCTCCAGGAAGCCTTCCTTGACCTCCTTGGTGAGCTCTGTCTATCACAGGCTCATCACGGTAGTAGCAATGTCACATGTATTGGTATTTTCCCCCTGTCTTATTTTGCTCACCATTGTATCACAACTGAGTCAAGGCTACAAGTTGCACAATTCCAGGAGCACTTTTCACATGGAACACAGTATGAATGGTGTGCCCAGAAGTTGTGCAGTATGGCATCCTGAGATGAATGGCATATTGGAAACAGAAGGAAGCTTGATGTTGTCTTTGATGTTGAGGATAACAACTGTCATGTCACACAGTCTTTCCTACATTGAGCACTTGTAGGAGAAATCTCTTGTAGTTCTTTCAGGAAATTTTGTGTTCGTGTGTGCAATTGCTTTGGACCCAATGAATTTCACAACTTTTCATGTTTCCCTTTTTGCTTTGACCATTAGGAGACTCGTAAGTCAAATTTGCAGTCTAGTTCTAGCTACCATGTAAGACCTTATGGCTTATATTTATATACTAAATCTTCCTGGCTTCTTCTTTTCCCATTGCCATGCCTTTCTTGTCTATTTTGTTTTAATCTGTGACGTGCACATCTATAAGCTATAGAAGTGTGTATCTGTAAGTCTATTCAAAGATTATTCCTTTAGAGTATGTGGTATATAATAATATATACTTTTAAAATGCATATATTATTAAATATATAATATATTAATTTAATAAATGTATAGTATGAGGTGTGAGGTATATGATCATGTATATTATATGTAAGTCATGTTTCTAATATTTGTAAGTAATCTGAAAAGAAAGTAGAATTGGAACTAAAAAAGTTTGTGTAGTCTTGGGCTTAGATTACAAGACTTTGATTCATATTCCAACCAGGCCACTTCTTGGGTTTGTTCTAGGCATAATCGAACCTCGTAATCTAACCTCTCTGGGGCTGTTTCACCTTTGTAAAATGGGAACGCAGTCCATTCCTTACAGCATTGTTGAAAGAATAAAGTAAGAACATTTATGTGATAGCATTTACCTGGCACGTTGAAACTGCTTAGAAAGTGAGTTTGTTTTTGTTTTTATTAGATGTGCTCTAATAGGAGCAGCATTTATTTAAATTTTAAAAACCTGCCCTAACACTAAATGCATTTCTGTTCTCCCAGCAGCTAAGTTATCAAATGGATCCCCCTCCCAGGGATTTTCTGGAGGGATCTTCTGTATGTGTTGGGTGTACCCTGCCCTCAGCCATGTCTCCTTTCTCTCCATCACCAGATCTCGTCGCTGAAGAACCGGCTGAAGAAGGTCTCCACGACTACTGGCGACGGTGTGGCCAGAGCCTTCCTAAAGGCCCAGGCCGCTTTCTTCGGCAGCTACCGAAACGCTCTGAAAATTGAACCGGTGAGTAGCTTCTTGGCGTGTTGCGAATCCACGTTTGGTCAGGGCTAAGACACATACCTCACAGGCCACAAGAAACCTGCCATTCATCTGGCCGTTGAATTCACCAAAAGAGGTTGTGTATGTGGTGAGGCGCCAGGGAAGTGTCCTCCCAGCCCTGCCTCTTTGCACAAGGAAGCTGTGCCCAAGGTCAGGGGTGTTTGCTTCTGTTTTTGTCTTAACCCATAACGTTTTATTAAATTAAAAGTCAAAGGTTGAGCAGATCACAGGCAGTTGCATTTCATATGCAAACTCTGGTTTTGAATCTTGATCATGCTTCCTCATAAGCCACAGTTATACCTTGTTAAATACATTTTTACTGCTGTGACTCCCTCATGTGTGTAAGTGAAGCACAGAGAAATTCCCTTCCTCCGGGGCGCACTCTCCATGAAGTGGCCGGTGCTCAGGGAGCAGCAGCCTGATGCCACATCCTCCTTTTCCCTTGTCCTCCATCCAGCACTTAGGCCTTGCTAAGACTGCCTCAGCTTCAGGCAACGTCATGGTCACTTAACAGAAAGGATACACTCTTTTTGCTTCCTAAGAAATACTTCCCTAGATCCTCTGAAGCCCTTTAGCTTAAAGCAAGCTCCTCATGTCCTGCTTGTCTCCAAAAGAAGTGGCTCTGATTCTTTGTCCTGACCTTGGGCCCAGCCACACAGTCAGGTTCAGTGCTGTTTTGAGAGCTGGTATGATTCAAAGAAAATACTGTTTTCTTGCTGTCTTTAAAATGAGAATGGGACAAATGGCTCAGTCCTTTTCTTAGGCTGCTGGGAATGGACAGACATGAAGTATTTCTGCTCTTACATGATTTCATTGTTGTCACATATACATCTAGAATCCAGAGGCTGTTGACTCTTGGTCCGTATCGCTGAGTGTATGATCTGGGCACAAGTTCCTCCTCCAGAGAAGTTTATGGTTGTATTTGCACTTGGCTCTGAAAGGCATTGGGTACAAGGGTGAAGTCCTGTAGTTTAAAGCCTGGCTCTGTACTTCTGAGTTGTACAACCTTGAGCAAGCCACTTAGACTCTTTAGACTTCGATTTCTTCACCTGTGAAATGAGGATAAGAATACCTATCATCCTACATCTCCAGTTGATTATAAGGATCAAATGAGCCATAAAACATTTCATAGGAAGGTGAAACGAGCTGATGGCTAGGGTTTGGGAAAAGAAAGACAGAAGCAACCCCTTCCTGTGGTGGGTATGAAGTTATCTGAGTGAGCAAAGGCTTGGAGGCAGGACCCTTTGTGGCCACTTTGTCTGAAGTCATGAGTTTGGTTGGGGAAGTGGGGAATGCAGGAGAAGTTGGAGCCAAATTTAACAGAGCCTTGGATACTAGGCTAGGAATGTGAGCAGAGATGGGATGTAACTGACATCCTGTTTGACCAGTAATACAGTGATGGACTGAAAAGGAAACTGGAAGCAGGGAGACCAGGGGACTGTTGGGAGCTCAGAAGAGAGCCCTCTGGTGGTTACACCAGGAAAAGGTATCACAAAGAAGAAATGGCTACATGAATCCAGTAATAGATAAAATATGGGAGATGAGGGGTGAGAAATGTCAAAATATCTCCCAAGATTTGGACCTGGGAGAGGATGATGATACCCATAGTAGAAAAGGGGAAAGCTTGATGTAGAGGTGTTCTTAGTAGCAGATTATAATGGTAAAAACAAGGAATAGATTGTGTCCATAATGATAAACAACTGATGAAGTAAATTGAAGTATATCCATATGGTAGAATATTACATAGCCATTAAAAGTAGGATTTTGAGGATAGGATGATGGGTTTGGTTATAAACATGTTATATTTCATTGAATGTAAGATGCCATTCCATCATAAGATGTACCATTATTTCATGTGCCATTAAGAAAATGAAAAAGGTGCTGCTAATTATAAATTGAAGGATGCAATCAATTGTAAGACATGTCCAAATTTCAGAGATGTTACAAAGTGAAGAAGTTTGGATCTTAGAATCAATGAAATAAGGCAGGTTTGTCGTGCTTTCAGTCTGATTCATCTGTACCAGAATGGCTTTTTTCTGAAAGTCCAAGAGGGAAGCCAGAGGGCCAGAACTTTTCTAACCAAGTGTCATCACTATGTTATCTAAATGGTTTTTAAACCATAGATTCAATTCTAGCCAATTCTTCTCATTTAAAAAAATGGATAACACCTCCCATACCAGATTGTTTGTGGGATCAATTAAAATAATGACTGCAAAGCGCATGTGAGCCCAAGCAGGGTCAGGGTGTTAGAGTCAGGCTGCACGCAGCTAGTGACGGTGAGCCTGCTGGATGGCAGGCAGCATGGTGCGGAGGGGGTGGGGCGCCCTCCCTGGAGCCACTTGTCTCTTAGTAGTTTCTCTGGTTATAAAAATAGCACCTGCTCTTGGTTAAAAAAAAAAAAAGACAAAAGAAAAAGTTTAAAGTAACAGGACTAGAAATGAGAAAGTACTTATAATCCTATCATCTGGGGTTGAAGTAACATGTTAGCATGTTTCCACCAAGCTTCTAGGATTTGGGGGTTGTTTTTGTTTCATTTTGGTTTTGGTTTTTGGTTTTCTCACTTTCAGAGAGTTGAGATATTCCTGGCAAAGCAACCTAGTTCCCAGTTATTTGGTTTTTCCTTTTAGCATATTTTTCACATCATGTAAGGACTCTTGTAAAACGTGATTTATAATGGCTGCATGTATCCCATCAGGTGACCCCAGTGGTTCTCAATCACCCCTGGCTGTGGATCAGCATCACCTGTGGGGCTCTTAAAATGGCAAATGTCTGGGCCCTACTCGCAGAAATTTTCATCAGGTTCCCGCAATCCGAAATCAGTGCCAAGACCCACCACATTATCCCAATGCTGGTCCTTTTGACTGCTGATAATCTTTCACCAACTTAAATCACTCTGTGGTGAACATCTTTATGTAAATCTTCATGCACAATATGAATTATTTCCTTAGGCAAAATCCCTTGCATGAATTTACTGGGTTAAAGGACCCAAGTACATTTAAGGCCTTTGATTCATAAAGTGAAAGAGAAAGCTGGTGGCCAGAAACAGTTGGTAGCCTGGAGGGGAGAGTCTCTGGGGCAGGTCGAGTGAAGAATGGTCGAGGCTGAGGGAGAAGGTAGCCTGCAGGGTCAGGGCCTGGAGGAGCATGTGGGACGTGGAGGGTGCACCGGGGCCATGCTGTGCTGTGCCCGTGGTGTGCCCTGCACAGTGCGGTGTCGGGGTTTCCCACTTGAGCCAGCAGGTGCAGTCATGGGACTCGGGTCACCGCCAAGTCGCAGAGTTTGGGATTTTTAAAGCATGAAACATGACAGACTCGACAGGGCTCCTTTTACACCATCCCCGCAGGGGCCCCAAGAGGCAGAGATGGGCAACCCCTCCTCCACAGCCCAGGGCTCACTTGAGATTTTGAACTCCTTGGCCTTTTTTTTTCTCTCTCCTTCTGGAAAAAATTCAAAATGCAGCTTGTTGGGGAGACTTAAGCTTCATCTTCTTTCTCCTGCCTGGAAGGGAAGAGGAAGGCCCCCCCTTGCTAAGGTCCAATCACGTGCCTGGTGCCAGCCTGCTCCTCTCTGTCCCTGCCTTCTGCTGTGTGCCTGTCCCAGGGCGGGAGGACCCATGTGGGCTCACTGGTGGGCTCTCTCTTCAGGGCCAGGTGAGTTATTACCTCCGAGGGTTGGAAAGTGAGCCGCCAAGGGAGTCCAGCTGACGCCAAGTCTTCTGCCTGCTCTGCGGCTTCCCACCGCGTCGGACCTCGGCTCGTCCCTGAGTTGCTTTGCATCCATGGTCGCAGTAGTTCCCCATGACTGCCCCTTGCAGTCTACGTTACAGCTCAGGGAGGGGCTGAGATTTCCCGTGACTTCCCAACAAGTAGCAGAGCCAGGAGTCAAACTCAGGTCGGCCTAACTCTAAAACCCAGGTTCCTTCCACCATACCATCTCGCCTGTCTTTGTTCTGGTTTCCTTATGTTCCAGACTAACAGCTCTTTCTCCCTGTATTTCCAGTGCCGGGCACGGGTCATGGCATAGTGGAGGCATCAATGAGTGCATTTTGAAACAGTGGATGGAAGCATGGGTGAAAGAAATGAAAGAACAGAGAAATGTGTGAGGCCAGGGCCTCCATTCAGTGCATACACATTGCATCCTGTCCTGTCTGTAGGCTTTGGAGGTTGGTGTTGCCTGTCAGAGGGGACAGTGTCAGCAAATCACAGGGGCATGTGACCCATTTTTCAGTCACCCAGAGAATATCAGGTGCAAAGCCCAAGATATTTAACAATATCGGCCAAGTCAACTTGTTCTTCTCCACTTAAATGAGAGAACCACAAGCAGCCAGGCAGCCCCATTCGGAAAAACCCCCTTTATCCGTGTCAAGCGGCAGCCCAGGCTCCAGCTCATTTATTTAGGCCTTTCTTGCTCTCTGACACGCCTCCTAGCAGTTGCCAGGCAACTCTGGGAGTAGCAGTGTGTGTTAGGGATTAACTAGTTAGGGCTGGGGTCCTTTTTGGCAAGGAGAGGATAAAAGACAAATGATTTTAATTGCTAGGCCAAGGGTCCTTTCTCTGCTGGTTGGAAGAGTGCAACTTTTGGAGAATATATATAACAGTGTGGGTCTTGAATTTGCCTTGAATTTTCCCTCTTCTCCCTCCTAGGGAGAGCGAATGAGTTTTAAAAAGAATCTTACTTTCACCTCACTCCTTTGTTTAAAATTATATCATCTTGAAATCTGAATAAGACTAAACCACCACCCTCTCTTTGGAAGACATCTCCTAGCACGATGGCCTCAGTTTTAAAGAACTTTCAAAAATAGAATTCGGTGCTTTAATTGCATCCCTTTTTCTGTCCATAGTTTCTTATTTCATAGCTCTTGCTCCATGGAGTCATCTTAAGACAGTGTGGATGAAGGTGCTTGTTCCCATGTCTGGCCTACCGCAGGTCTCTGGTAAATGTTAGATCAAAGAGCAGGACTGATG